AAGATATTATTTGTATCAAAACCACTAAGTACCTGCTTTTGGTTGTCATCTAACAAAATGACGCTATAACCAAATCATAACTAAGGCATTTTTTTAAAGATAGTATGTGAAAAAAAGATAAAAAAACAGGAGTATTCTTAATGTAAGTCTCTCAAGTTTATTAAATGTAGAGTTTAAAATTTGAAATTGATAAGTTTCATTCAACTTTTTCAGATTTTTCTTTTGACAGTTATGAGGACTTGCATCAGCCTTGAATGGTAAAGCTTTCTCTAAGAAAGCAACCAGAAAAAGTTGCAATTTGTGAATACCAGTTACATAAAAGCATTTGATATCACACACAAAAATCTCAAATTACTCTTTCTAAGTGCAATAATGATTAATATATCTAAAGTATCAAAGAAAAAGTCTTAAGTAATTATTTAATATACTGATTAGCACTAAGAAAGGCTCACTTCTCAATTAAGTTTCAAGCTGAATACCAAAGGCTCTTTTTTATGTGATACTAAACATATTGACGCCCCTTTCTGTGAAGGCTTTCCAATCAAGTAAATATTAAAAAGAAAAGAAAATAATCTGGCAACTTGTGAATCCTAAGCAATACATATTCTTATGGGAAAATTAAAACATCAAACTGAGCTTTAAAAAAATGCATTAAAACAATATAAATTTGAAATCACAACTTTTTTACCAATAAAGTTTATTATTTTAAATACATAAATTTTCTGTCTCTCAAAATACAACAACAACTACAATCCTTCACATTTTATTTGCAGTTAAAACTAAATGAAAGTTTTAATTTTTCAATTGGTTGTTTTCAAAAACACAACAATAATTTTACATTTTGCCTCCCATTTGTAACTAATTCCAACCATATAACTATTGTACAGTAAATCAACAATCTGTCCAAATACTTCATTCCCATTCTATTTTGTTTATAACTCTGTGTCAGTTGTCTAGCTATATCTAACTTGGTCCTGTCTGGCACATTTTTCCATCATTGATAAAAAAAAGAGGGGTTTGCATAATACATTTGGCAATGGATAAGTTGTGGTTTAAAGTAATGAAAAACTTATTTGATACACTATTGCAAATTAAGTAAGGCTTCATACAATATGAATTTCTATTTTTGAAGTTATTTGTAACCTGCAAACTCCACAAGAATCAGGCACAATATAAAAAACCCAATAAAATAATGACTAAACAGAGCACAAAAGAAGCCATCATGCATTATTAGAATACTTTCCTCAACCCAAAAGAAGAAAAAGTGCATGCATTATAAAAGCACAAATTCTTACTACTATTATTTAAATTATTTCACTTCTCTCTCACAGTTAATGCCAATGACTGACCACCAGATAGGAAATAAACTCATTCAGGAATCAATAAATAAAATAAGAACTTATGATATTTCAAGACTTAGTAGATTAGCTGGCTTAAGCATTTGTCCTGTAAAAAAGAGTTTGGTATTAAAATCTCACTTGATAACTTAATGTTGCACTGACCCTTAAAACTGGGCAAATTTACACGCTGAGGGAAACACTGTTAAACACTTCTTACAACCTTCATGTTGAGCACAAAACAAAAGTATGATGTCACAATCTCTGAAAGTACACTTTCAGTCATATATGTTATATGCATAATTAATGTGGCAGAGATAAAGAAATACATAGCATAAAATGTTCTAACACCATAACTTTACTTAGGAATGATAAAAAACATGTGAAAATTAATACACATGTTCTTTGTGAAAATTCTCGCAGCTTGAGTTAAAAACTGCAAATTTTCTGCAATGTTAATGAGCTATGGGCAATTAACATTAATTAATGCGTTTGATAGTAGTAATTAGTCTCATAACAAGACAATTGGTAAAGACTTTTGAATTTTAAATATTCAAGCAATGGAAGAGTGTAATATCAACAAGTATGCTAAATTTCATGCTGATATTGGCTTTAATGTTGAAGTGGAAACAGAACGAAAACAAGCTAGACTTATATTTTTAATCACTTACTACAGGTTAATTAGTAAAGATTTTAAGACATAAATGAGTTATTTATGTAGAAGAGAAGTTAAACTTTCAATTTAAGCTAAATTAGAAAAAATGTGATTTTTGAAATATTGGGAGTGCTTTAAGGGTCAGTGCCACCTTAATTGAACAAAGCATTTTACTGGAAAGTAGTCACAGGTTTGAATTAAATCCTATCTCATATTTTGCTTCTTTATGAAATAAGTTAATACTCAGAAACCTACAAGTTAATTTCTATGCTATTGACATTCAATTTTGACTTGACCATATCAAATACACAGTTTTTAAGGTAAGGAACTTCTAGTCAAACTTTCCATTAGCACACTCACAAGTATTATGCAATAATGCACAACACAGTAATACATAATCTACTCACAATAAGTAAAATCTCACCATAAAATTCTGTTGTATTGGGGCCCATGTGTACATGGTGGGAATGGAGTTTACAGCATTCATTATCCTGATAGGTTTGTTCTGAGTCGTACCATCAGAAACTTCTATTATTGCCTGAAATTTAAAAACGGGTTATGTTAACAGATCCCAAAGAAACATAGAAATGTGCACCAACTATACCTTAAACTCACACTTATACCTAGAATTTGCACAAAGTCCTGGATGACATTAACTGGTAATAATTGTTCTATTGTAATTAGCAAGTTGAATGGAAAATAACTCTCTACTAATATCCATCTCCACAAGTTTTCTTCAGAAATCACACTGATTTTTTCATAGTTGCATTTGTATATCATAATGTTTTAACAGTCTTAGATTTGAAAAATCATTAATCTATAAAGTTATAAATGCATATATAACCCTAACACAAATTGTTAATCTAAATAGTTATAAATGCATATATAACCCTAACACAAATTGTTAACCTAATTAGTTATAAATGCATATGTAACCACAGCACAAACCAACAATAACAACAAGCGTTTAAAAAATTATTAAACCCATTTTTTTCTTTCATTTATATGCACATAAAAAATACAGCCAAAATTAAGCAGATTTTAGACTGATATTTTAAATTTTGTAAATTAAGAAGCAGTTCTGCTCAAATTAATTCTGAACAATTTAATCATGGTTTCTAACATTAGTTAAATTTATACAAAAAGTCATTTCTGATTGCTGCTATTTGTTTCATTAAATGCTTACACCAGTGTCACTTTAGTTCAGCATCTATTGGCCACTTGTTCCTTAGCATTTCATAAATAAACAAAATGAATAAATGAAAGTGACTTCACAGTTTGACTGGAATGAAGTGCGGTTGTAAATATTTGTAACGGATGGTTTTAAGTGTGTACAAGCACATCTATTTATACCATAAAACTTATAGTTGACTTTTTCTTCCTTTCAAAAGAGGCATCTATAAAGAAACCACTGAAGTCTATTACAACGAAATTCAAAAACAGTGAATGAGGGTGTTACACATATGAATAAATAGGTACTACAGTACCAATATTAACATATTCATAATTATGACTAAGATACTTGACTTATGGTAACACAGTCAGTTTGACTATTTGTTGGAATTCAAACAAAGTTACGTGTGAGGGTTATCTGCACAAGCTATCACTTTATTTTGAAGTGATACACTAGAGGGAAGGCAGCTAGCCAACACTACCCACCTCCAACTTTTCGAATGCTCAAGTCAGAACAAAAAGTTGGATATGACTGTCACTTTTGTAATGCACTTATGGTGCCAAAGTACAGAGGACATTTTTCTCAGTAATAGGATGCAAATCATTAAACTTCAGCTCCACAGTATGCCAGGCTGACCAATCTGCTGCACTCAGCTTCACAACAAAGTCAAAACTCAAAATTTATTATTACGTTGTTATACGTTCAAAAACATGTTAGCTTGAAATAATGCAATTACAAATGATTTGTGTATTTAGTAAAAGAGAAACTACATGCCAAAAAAAAAATCAAAGTTGCTTGGATACATCACATTTTAAATATTATTAATCAATTATAAAAAATGTAACAGTTCTTTATAATTAAGACTTCTGGAAACAGCTTAGCAGTAATGAAGACTGGGCCTCTTGCAAAAAACTAGCTCATTTATAAATTCTACATATTTGTCAGATGATTTACTTTCCCAAACAAAAGTCACTGGTAAGGAAATTATCTTCCCCTTAACAAGAAATAGCTTCTTGGTGTATTTTGCAAGTTAGCTGCTACACAAATTCACTAGTCACAACAGAAAATTAGATATATCTAAATTTGTCCCTCTTAACAGATTAAACTCTCAGTCTAGATTACTGCTGATTACAATTTTATTTTCCCACAGTGGGAACTATTATGTCCTTTAAAAACATACAAGTGGAGTTCATTATAAAAAAAATAGGTATTAGCCACCTGACAATAAGATACTTCATTCTTAATTAAATGGTTATGACAGCTATGGCCACACACAGTTTCCTCGTCATAGAATATAAACTGACTACCAAACAGTTAACATACCAATCTGATCAAGTATTTTTTTTTAATTTATATCTAATGCCTATATTGATGATAAAGCTTAAATATCACTTTTACTATATATCTTTTGCAGTAAATGTCAATTTGATATATTTGCAAAAAGATTGTTGATCCAAATGAAAATCATTTATGCTAATACCAGTTTCTGTGGAAACCTAGTTTAGTTTTTCTGGTTTTAGTATATTCCTTTCTGTTTTTACAGATTTTATAATTAGGTATTTAACTGAAACTTTCACATGCATTATTGTTCACAAATTTTCCTTATTACTGCATATTCTTAACATGACTTTTAGTTTACTTATATATTTTTATCTAATTGATTAGTGATATGATAGACTTTGTTTAATAATCCTCATAAAAAGGCCAAGCTTGGAGAAGCAATTGAATAAGTATTCATTCTGATCTATTTTTGCTTGAGTGATGAAAAGAATATATTATACTTAGATCCATTTCTTATTTTCACAGGAAAGTACATTTTTATACCTTTTTCATCAGAGGGAAGTGAGCTGGAACTTCTGTTGGAAATACAGCTTCGGCTTTTTTTTCTAGGTGCCATTTCTTCAACAGTGCTGTGGTTTCATTGATGATTTGTCTATTGGATATGTAGGCTGCCTAAGAACACAATAAATTCCATAAACGTTTGGAATGTCATGACTATAAACATATGTAAATGCTAAAAATCTTTATTTATGATTTTATGCCATTACAGAGACATGATTAAAAGTTCTTAATTAGTGAATCAAAACCAGTGCTTCGTAACTGATGTTCAATGCAAGCAATAAGAACTGTTCTAATATGAGAGAAGTCTTACATTCTTTACACTTATAAGTAACTGCTCTACTGTTTTTGCTTTTAAAGATAGCATATCTAGTGATGCTAACTGATGAAGTTCAACCCCACGTACAGTTCTCATACAGTATGAGTATAGTACACAATTGAGTTGCTGTGAATAAATATTTCTTAAAAGACCAAATGTTTTTATCCCTAATCTTAGTTGTGAATGTGAATCTAATATGAATCATTTGTTGTTAAAACTTGGAAATTAATATTTTAATTATGGTTATTAAAATTTGAAAAAAAAAGCTGATTTCCAAATTAAGGTGGAATAAGCAATATTTCTATTTCATTAAATTACAGCATGTACTTTATCATCTTCAAGGGTGTTAACTTTTAACAGTTCCTGACCCATTATCTGTTTAATCAGTTGTTTAGAAGTTCCCTTCATTTGTAACTTGCTTTTGATAAATGCAAATCCATTACAAAGTATAAACTATTTGTCTTATTTGTTGAACCAAAGTATAAAAATATTCATTTGGTCAAAAAGCTGAGCTGCAATTAATTTGCTGCCTTTAATGTTGACTTGATACGAAGGCAAAAATAATTGGAGATTTTCATGTATATATAAATATATTCACTGACATAGTTGCTTAGAAATATAACATGTTTCTGCAGTTAAAGGATGAACAAAAATCTTTCTAATAATGGACCCCCCCCCCCCAATTGTTTATGCATGACCCTACTATTTTTTTCATAATATTGTGATGCATACAATGGTGCCATTATTCTACTCTTTCTGTGACACCATGTTTAATGATAACAGCACAAAAGAAACAGTGGTGTTATCCTATATATCAGGATAATCTCTCCAAATTTACTCAAAACATCATTATTATTAATGAAAATTAAATGTGTTCTGTATATAAACACAATGACAATGAACTGTGGAACACTGATTGATAATACTAAAAGTATAACATATGCATTTAACCATATTACCAGGATATCATGAGAAATAAGGTCAACATGATTTATGTAAACCTCTTGACTGTTTTAAGTAGTCTATCCGTAATGTGTGTAAAAACCTAATAATCACTTTTTATAAATAAATTTAAGCTGCTGTAGCAAAGTATACCCATGTTAATAAAATAATGTAACCTAATGTAAATCTTTGGTTTTATAATGTACTAAGTTGGTGATCAGAGGGTTAAGACTAAATGAAACTTATCAATCTCTCTTGTACATCTTTTTAGAATGACCTGGTAAATATTTAAGTCATTAAACTATTTTGAAAGTTTGACAACTTCAAAGTTTGAAAATATTTACTTTGGATTTCAGCCAAGGGTTAATCATTTTTATTTGCAGTAATGCTCTTAATAATAGTAAAATAAAATATTAGTAAACAGATCTTCAGAAAAGCCATACAATCTAAAGTCAAATAAATGTGTATTGAAGAATTTGGTCAAAAGACAGACTTTCCTCAGAAATGAAACATTATTTTGCTCTACAAAAATAATCAGGCCTTGCCAGATAGTGTTATCTACTATATATATTTGGATAATCATCTCCAAAGTTACTCAAAACATCATTATTATTAATTCACTACCATTCCTTGATAAAAAAAAATTTCCATGGGCTTTATCTTACTATATTCCCCAATCAATTTTTGCAGAGAGAAGAAATGGTTGGGTGGAAACTATATTTTATATCAGCTTATTAAAAAAAAATTAAATAAGTAAAATTAATAAAACTTTTTCATACAATAACATCTATGTTGGTAAAACTACTGTTCTCCAGCAGATACTATTATAAAACTAATAGTCCAATTTATAGAGATCCAGCACACATACACATTAAATAAAAACATCTATATGCAATTATTTGTACGAGTTTGTGGATCAAATAGTACATATTTCCAAATATTGGTTAAAGTTATAATTTCCCTAAATGAAAATGTATTTCCAATAGGTACCCCTGAAATGAGAAAAACAGATCAGATGATCTGAAGAGGGGCACCACACCACATCTGAGCCAGGTATCTTTTCACCAGGAACATTGACATGATCAGGAAAACCATACATGGTTGAACATGAAGGGAGCACATCCTTGTGGGAGAGGATAGTTTAGCAATGTGATCTTAAATAGAAATTAGAATCACTCAATCCCACGATGGAAAGTGGGCATGTGAGGATATGTCCCATGGTGTAGAGTGGCTAGGGTTTGATGGACCGTACTCAGTAAGACAACTACATCCAAAACCTCACTCACTGGGTACAGACATCCTTGTGGGAATAGGATGAGGATTATACAATCTTCACCTCAAGTCCCAAAGTCAACAGTGAACCTAACATTCCACTCCAGTAACTCACAGGGTAGCCTAATGCCAGGGATTTGGGAATATGTCATCAGTAATCCAGGGGAATTCCATGCACTCAACCCCCATGACCGTGAAACCAGCTCAAAATGACCCCCAGGTAGGTAACAACCTTGTCACCCAATGAGGGATAACCCAGTACAGAAATGGAAACAGGCCACGTAGACCTTCTGTAAGCCGCAACACAGAAAATTTACGAGTGGAAGATGGATAACCTGAAACCTGTGTGAAGACTTATGTGATTGGTTCACGCAGTCTCCAAAGCCTCACTCGCTGGGTACTGACATTCACGTGAGGGTAGGAGGAAGGCACTCAATCAGAGAGGTGAACTGCATTTAGGCGTCTCAACTCCGGGAATCCCTGTTTGCTTTACCCATAAAACAGATCAACATGGAAAGGACATGGGAAGAAAAGATCCTGCAGAAACAGGAAAAATGGAAGATATGGGATAATGCCAACTGAAATCCTGAAATATAGGAGACAGACCCCCTCCTCCCAAAAAAAGAGCCAAATGAGAAACTTAGAGATACAGGTAAACGTTGGACAAGAAACCTGGAAACCTCAAGTCAATGCCCAGGAGCAATAGACGCTCCACTTGCATTGATAGACGGTCAAAGAAGAAGGGCCTGACTAAAGTCAGACGTGAAGATGGATGGCACAGGATGGAGTGCCAGAGACTGAGGTGGATGGAGTAAGGCGGGACAGAAATGGAGGGATCATCTGCAGTTGGAGCAACCAAGGTTGAGCGAGCCAGTGATGAGCAATCAGAAGGACCATGCACGGAATGGAATGGATGAGAGAGAGAGACAACCCGATGAAGTAAACAGACGGTAGGGTAAGCATAAAGGAACAAATGAGAGCAATCCTGGCTGAAGGCATTGACAGCCATGGGTTGAGGGTGAGAGTTTTTTCTTTTACAACAAACAAATGCATTTACATCATAATAAATTCTGAAAAAGATTACTGCTGAATACTTTGTTTGGCCGATTTTTTCTTTTCCTAAGAGCAGTACAATAGTATTCAATTTCCTTATCACTTGAGAATGTTCTAGCTCTATTTTGTTTTTTGTTGCCAGATCTAGAATTTTAGAAAAATCTACTATGGCTTTATCAATAGTCTTTTTTTATAATTATGTTGAGTGACATGATACAAGTAAGAATTTACCCAAATCTCACATGAGTTTTTTAACTTTATAGTCTTATTGGGAAACAAATCAGTGAAAATAATAATACATATCAGTCAAATTGTGTTTATGTTATATTGTCCAACTTCCCCTGATTTGATAATGTAGTACTTATCCACAAGATTGGGATGGATTTTCTGTGTACTTGTGATCTTTTAACCTTTGACCCATGATCTTCAAAAGTTAATAACTTCTAGAACTTAATAATTAGTGCCTGATGTACAAGTTTGGGTCATTATCCATTCTTTCTATATTTAAATATGTCAACAAGGTTTGGAAAGGTTTTCTGTATACTAGTGACTTTTTGGCCTTGACATTCAAAAGTTAATCAAGTGTAAACCTTTATATGTAGTGCCTGTTGTATATGTTTGGTCAAAATTCATTTGCCCAATCTCTGCAATGCTTCACAGTGGAGAGGAATAAAAAAAATAGTTACCTTCTACCCAAATATTTTTGTACTATATATATATATATATGACAGAAACAATAAAAGTGCAAAGATAAAACAGGAAATAAAATGAGATTCACTGACTTTCACTTCATCATGCCGCTTAAATCTTTTCAGCTGTCGTAACCTCATGTATTCAGACTTCACTCGTTTCTTCCATTCTATTGACACCTTTTGGACTTCTGTCGTCATTTCTTGGTTTAATCTTTGCAGATCTAAAAAAGAAAAAAAAAATTTAACACGCAGGATAGGTTTATTATCACAGTAGACTAGTTTGAAGGAAATTTATGAAGTTTGCAAGGACACATTCATCATGTAATGCTAAAGGAAGATTCATATTACCAAGAAACATTCTTGAAAAAAGAAGAGTTAGTAGGGATCTGAGTGAGGTGTATAAGATTGTAGAAGGAATTGATAATGTTGATGCATCATCTTTTTTAATACTTAACAGCAAGAATAGTAGGACTAGGGGAATAAATTATTAATAATTAATTAATAAATTATTTATAAATTTATTAATAAACTATTAATAAATAAGTTTAAAAAAATCTTAAAGCTAGCCTTTATCATTCATATATTTATCAAGCTTTTTCTTAAACTCAATTAAATTTACTGCTTCCACAACATCTGAAGGCAACCCATTCCAAAGGCCAACCATCCTGTTAGAGAAATAAAACTGTCTTAGCTGAAGATGACTCCTACCTTTCCAAAATTTATATTTGTGTAATAGGTCCCATGTTGTCCCAAAACGTTATGTTATGTTAATCTTGTATTCTCACATTGATACAAATAAACAATAGAATTAGACATTATAATAGATGTAGAACTAGAACACAAAGTAACAACATAAATATAATTCATTGAGTTAATTAATTATAATATATAGCTGTAATCTTTATCATAACGTGGTAGTGTAAATTTAACGATTACTTACTCAAAATCCTTAAGTTCTAAAATTTGTAATACCTGCTAGATGTTCAAACTTCAAAATACAACTAACAACGCTTGTTCGCTTCAAAACAACGACAGCCTTAACAACAGTAAAACATAACACTGGTAGTGGTAGCAAAAGCGCCCCGCTAATTCGAACCAATAAGGTTGAGTGAGTTGATTATAGATGGCGCATATTTACAAGTTGCATATTTAAATTACTATATCCTTAAAATTTGCATTTGAAGAAATAAAGAGCATGAGAAGGTAAATGCATACTTTTAAAACAAGACAATTTTATCGCAACATCAAAACATAGCGAATACCTACTATATGTATTAAATCACTGATGAATGCAATTTTGTAGATTTTTTCTTAATTGCTGTTAAGAACTCCTTCCCAAAAGTAATAAATATCAGAATTATAATACATTTTATATACTCGATCTAAAATTTATTGTCCATTATCAATTCGAAAAATTCACACCAAAATGTCTTATTACTAATGTGTTACAGAAGAGTATTAGATATCTGCAATACAGCAGGTTTTGGAACTGTTATGCATGAATAAAATGAACACAGAAAAACAAGAAACACGAGTGATTGAATAAAAAAACAACAATATAATTAACTTGATTATCAAAAGTTACATAAATCATGCAGAATGTTACTGGGTTTTTTTCGTTTATACTGGTTGTTTTCTACATTCGTCACAAAATTCTCATGGCTACTGGAGTATGAATAAAATACGTAGGAGACGAAGACGAAAATCGGAATAATGATGATACTACACTTTTTCATACCAAGGAATAGTGTGATATCCCACAGTCCTTAGTCTACGTAGGTCAATGATCATTCCCATTATACAAATTCAAGTGAGATAAAGTCCTAACTTGTTCAAACCTCTATAGCTTTATTCAAACATATAGGCTCCAACACTTAGAGTAAACTTAAATATAACAAGTAAATACAGCTTATTAGAATTTAAATGAAACAAAATGAAATTGAATCAAAATAAAAAATGGGGGATATTAAATAAAGTTTCGATACCCGTGGTGGGCAGAGCACGGATAGCTCATTGTGCAGCTTTGTTCTTACCTACAAACAATAACACATAAAAAAAACAACAACTGACAACCAAATTGTCTAAAATTATATAACATTATATAAAATAAAAAATGTATAGGATAAAGAATAAGTTAATCTCGTAAAATGTACAAACTCGGGGTAAAACAAACATAAACAACAACAAAAAATAGCATTAGCTGAGAAACCAAAATTTTAAAATTACCGAAGTTAAACTGAAAATAGAATATATCACCATTAAATACAAAATAGAAATTTGAAATAAACAGAACATCATTAAGACGCAATCAGAATACATGCCTAACTAACTCAGTGTTACACATTAACGAAAATATGGTAACGGTACATGGAATCACATTTCAGAAGCAAGCCTGAGAACTAGAGCAAATGAGTAACATAAATGCTTCCAAATGAAAACATAGCAAAGAATAATTTATGAAAATATACAGACAGGTCCATTCTTGTTTTTTAACAATTAGATTAGTTGAAAAACTACGGAACAACTTTATCTGTTTGTGAAATTACAGGTGTCACGCATACTTGACAATTGTGCCACAGAATTTCTGTTGATTCGAGTTTCTATGATTCATAACATCAAGATACTTCGCTGTTTAATATGTCGATTTTCTTTGAACCTTCGTAGGTGAATGATGAAATCCTTGTATATTCATTTACCAAAATTTTAAAATCTATACAAACTGAACTAGAAACAAAAATTCAACTTTCTAAACTTTATAGCGTAGTTTATGCAAATAAGCCAGGCACATTATATGTATTTTTAAGTATTCGTACACCATTGTAATACATTAAAAGTAAATATCAATCCAAATTAACAACAGCGTTTTATAATAATAAAAAGTAAAAGCTTACAGGGTAATTTATTCATTCAAATAATATAATTGTCACGGTTAATATTGTAATATTTCATAATTCATATAATTCTGTTGTTGGAAGCAAATTTTAATGATGTGTGAAAATTTTGTTAGATTAAATTTATGCTTCAGTTTTATCGCTAAAACTGTAAAATTTATTTACATAAATTGATGACGTGACTAGGAATGGTTGACACAGATTATGAAATTCTACTTCTACGGGACATATTTCATAGATTTAGAAAAATAAACTCGATAATTTTTTATGTTCAGTGTAGTAACTGTTTTGAGACAACATATAATGTATGTTTGTGTGTATTTGAGCAAACTGCACGATAGACTGTCTGCCCAGTAACCTCCGCAGGAACTGGATGCCAAATTTTAACGTTATAAGATCTCAAGTTCACTATTGAAGCAACGGGGGGAGAAGCATGTATAATGTCACATTGTACATTGCAATAATGGAAAAGTACAAATTGCAAATGTGCTGGTTGTGACATAGTGGTTATCATTCCCGATTGTGAATCTGAGAATTCATTGTTCATGTCTCGTTGCCGCAATTTGGGGCTGTGAATGCATCAAAAGAATAAGAGTTAAATCCCACTATTCGAGAGAGCTGTCTGAACTATTTGTCTCTAATCTTGAAATGATAGAATAAAGAATCAACACCATCCACCGCCAACTATTGGGTTACTCTTGTCAGACCGAATATTGAGATTTGAACTTTACTCTTATCATGCATCCCAGCCACAAAGTGTGGAGCACAATTTCTTTGGGACTGTAACAGCGTCGAATCACGAACCCTCAGATCCACAGTCCGTCACGCTAAATACTGGACAGCGCCCAGCTCTACAGAGAGTGTTCTTGTTAGAATTTATTGCATATTACCAATACTATATACACTGAGTGGTCACAAGTAAATAGACACCTTAATTTTTCGTC